AAAAAATGCAGTCTTTAGAGCACATTGGTTCCAACCGGAAGCAGCGGCTTTTACCCGGAAGTGAATTGAAAATTCGGCAACAGAAGAATTTCCTTGTTTTAACTTCAAAAGAGCCCGAGAGTCAACAGTTTGATCTGTCTCCTGGTTAAATACTTGAGAAAACTCTGAAATAAAATCAGAGTACGAGCAATTAAGGCTATCGTCAGAAGAGAACCTGGCCTGCGCCCATTCTAGAGCTCTGCCAGTCAATTGGGACAAAATGAAAGAAATTTTCTTGTAGTCTGTAGGAAAACTACCAGGAGAGTTTTTGAATATCAGGCGACATTGAAATAGGAATCCTTTACATTCACTAATATTACCTGAAAACTTTTCAGGGAGACTGGGTCGAAACTCAGACGATGACGTCACCGCCGGTGACCTCGGAGGAGGAACAGGACCCGGAAATGGTTGTGCTAGCGGCGTGGCGTTAGCATAGCTCAATCTGTTAGCGAGGCTTTGAATCATTTGATTTTGTCTTTCAATGTAGGAGTTTAACTCACATAGAGCTTGAGCGTTCCCATAAATCTGAGCGTCTCGTTCCTCCAAATGGCGCTGGAGATGGTCTGCTGGGCCTTGTGTTTGGCCGCAGTGTTCTGTCATGATGGGTCAGAGAGGCCCAAGGATGCAGAACACCACGGAGGCAGAAACAGGGGTAAAAGTTATAACAGAGTTTATTGAAGATTGTCACAAATATAATGACTGGTACTGGATCACTTCTGGGGCTCTGGTACTCAGGTAACTGGAAGGGAGACAGTTCAGTTAGCCACGTAGCTGAAGAGTGTTGGGATGTAATTGTTCAGAGATCTACCTTGTAGAATCCGGGTTTGGTCTTTGAGAGAGGCACTGTTGGGTCCAGAGATTGTTTGGATCGACAGAGTTCGGTTTACAGCTTCAGCGTCTTGCATCTAGTCTAGGACAGACCTTGGTTCTCCAGCTCTTAGCCAGAGCTGCGTTGATATCCAGGAGGAGTCTTCAGGTTTGGCTCAGAGGGTAGTTAAGACAGGTTAAGCTCATCCAGAGCTTACAGGACAAAAACAGGTTTCCTGTAGGCAGAGACAAAAAGGGGAATTAGAATCCACAAGGAGACAAGAAGCAATCAAAGTAATCACAGAGGTAGAGAGGCTCAGGTGCTAACCAAACTGGATAAACACTGCGGCGTTGATGCAAGGTCTGAGAGCAGCTTATATAGTGGAGGATCCTCCTGATGACGAGATGGGCTTCAGGTGTGTCGAAGGCTCAGCTCAGGAGGATCCACAGCGAACTCTGCTGGAGACAGGTGGTACAGCTCCAGATCCCAACAGTTTCCCTGATTTAGTAGGTTTAGTAAACCTGCTGGAACCTCTCAAGAGCCAAAAAGCATGATAAAGGCTCATAAAGTAGAGTTTGTTCTTTAAAAGTATACAGCGGGGCTAAAATACTAAATAGATGGGAGTAAATACAAGAGTAGTATGCTCTGAATTATGATTTCACATCCCTGACTTAATCTCTCTGAGCATCAAGGTTTTGCCTTTACTAAGAGTCTGCCCAAATATGAGCTGATGGTTGTCTCCTTTTGTGATTCTTATGTAGACATAGTTTGCAGCTTTTCTGAATTGCAGTTCCTTTTGCTAGTTGCAGCATTTTCCTTTGTATGTGTTCAGCGTGTGTACTTTAGTTAAACATCAGGCTTTGTATATAGCAGAGAGAAAAAAAAAACTATAGAAAGCAATTATACATTATTTTTCTTGGCCTTTAATTAATTAATTGCCAAGCCCCAAAAAGTATATTTCTAGATAGCCATTATGTCTAAGGATACATACATTATCAGATAGCTACAATACAAAAATACTTTATCACCTTTTTTTTTACATCCTCCTCCTGTGCATATACAGTAGAGTGTATGTTATTGTACTTTATTATGTCTAGAGTGAGTGTATAAATATATATTTCCTTTAATTGTTCCAGTTCTATTACATGTTTATTATTGATAGAATTCTTAAATAAATAAAAAAATTGCAATTAATATTTATACTCAAGAAATTAATGTCACTAGAGGTTTAACATTAACCCAAAATTATTACATTTTCACTTATGGGGATTATAAAGTTAATCTTATCTATATCAATAATTGTGTGAATTGTTATAGATGGCGATGTGCTAATTTATTCCACTATCTGTTATTTACTTGATGCAGTCTTAGAGTCAGTGAAAGTCATACTCCCTACAATTTTTCACTTTAGTAACTTCATAAAACATGCAGCCTGGTAACTGATATGGGGAAAAATGTGATATATTCTAATACTAATTCATACACCAATTACTAATTTGTTCCCACAAAGTATTTTTGTACAATGTTGGTATTTATAGCCCACGAAATACTAAAACATCATCCTTTATAGAGAGCACCTTCTGAAACAGTTAGAGGAGGCATTTAAATAGAATATTGACCACATCACCACATTACCTGATGTGTGCAGGACTGCAGTAAATTTTTTAACTCTGCTCCTTTGTCCCAAATAGTATATAATGTACTGCATTTGATTGGGTCAAACTAAAAAAAAGGGGAAAATGCATAGATGTTTCTGACGTGCATCTGCAGGAGCTATTCTGTATTTTTTTTTCCTTTGCCAGTCTCTTGTGTACAATGACATGCAATAAAGGAGGTGGCTTAGCTTTATTTGCTGTGATGAGTTGGGGGTAAAATCATTTTAACAGGTTTTTATGCAAAAGAGTAAAACTCAAAACAAAATATTTGCAGTGAGTTCATCAGTATAATCCAAGTTTTAAATATGTGGCAGGCCCCCTTTATTTGGATGGAAGACCAGCCTTTCAGATATTTCCTGCTGTAACACCAACTACTTGGAGATCGTAGCGTCTAAGTGTATATAAAGCTTTTTTTAGGTTTGTGGTAAAAACTGAAAATTCCCAAATATAAAGTAGAAGTAAAAACTGTTTTTCCACAGTTTAATAGGAAAGTATTTTAGTAGATTACTGATCAGAGTACTCCTGGTTTTACTTTAAAAGAATACATTCTGGCTTCTTATGTAAAATTACTGGAGTTTAACCATTTTATATATGTGTAATTTTTTTCCTAGTTTTTTTGACAGCTTCACAAGTGGAGAGATCATGGTTTCAATTAAGTATATGTCTCCCAGACAACTCCTGAATCAGCTCCTCTGATTAGCAGAAACTGCATCAAACTGTAAAAAGTAAGAGTTGGTGTTGGCAACTTTGGACGTGCTTGACACTTGAACTCTCCAAGGGCCGGATCTATCAAAGGTTTGCGTGTATAAAAACGTGAGCTATTTCACTGCGCGCGCTAAAAAATGTACAAACTGATCTATCAACAGCGTGCAAAAAGGATTTGGTCTTTAAAACGTGCTAAATAGCGCCTCCACGTTTCAAAAGAAGGTGCAAATGGTCTGTATGCGTAATTGCGCACACATGGCAGTGGTTATTGTCGCAAGAAGGAGACATCGAAATAAAGCAAGGAGACGTAGAGAATGCATTTTTTCACTCCGTGTGAATATTTTTGGAATGAACGAGGAAACGATCATCAAAACATGTCGTTTATCCAGCATTGCCATTTTGGAGCTGTTGGGGGAACTCCGAATGGATTTGGAGCCAGCCACAAGGAGGACCCACGCAATACCAGATATCACAAAACTCCTTGCAACATTGCACTTTTTTGCATCTGGGTCATTCCAGCGTACGGTTGCAGCGAGAGCTGGGATCTCCCAATCTCGTTTTTCAGAAGTGCTGTCCGAAGTGCTGTCCGACGGGGTCGGGGTTCTCCACCTGCGCCTGTGGAGCGACATGCCAATGCTGCGGGGATGTGTAATCTCATCCACAGTCACTTCTTGTGAGCCATTTGGTATGTGCATTTTTCTACAGGCCAATACAAAACACCTGTTTTTTTTTTGTTTTTTTTTTTTGTTTTTTTTACTGCAGTGAAGTAGAAATTCAGCCACATACCACCTTAGGGAATAAAGGTTGCCAAAGTTTTTTCTTTATATCACTGTAAGATTTAAATTTCTTAATGCACTAGTTTGTAGAAACTACAAACTACTTTGCCGCAAACCACAAAACGCGCAAAACCATCATTTAAATAGGGCGTCTCCAACAGTTTTGCACCTGCCACCAGTTACTCAATCGCTCTTGTTAAATCACCCGCAAACCATGGTCCAGCCCCTCGCGCAAAATTCCAGTTTGCGAGCGCAAATTACTGCACGCAAAATTGGATCTTGATAAATCCGGCCCCAAGTGCGCTGCTACCAATGCTCAAAACGCACCAGAGGACCTCTTCACACCATTTGATGCCCTTCCACCTGAGACTTTGCATGTAAACTGGATGCCCCAATCCTCTATACACATTAGCATTTGTGGACTCACCATTTTATGTCCATCATACGCTGCTTTTTTAGAGATGTATAACTTGTATTTAAAAAAACTTAGAGAATAAAACGTGCGCTTTTGCTTTAGGGTGTAGTCAGTGATCTGCCACCCATTTGTAAAAAAACAAGGACATAGAATTTATCATTTTTCCTGACAAGTTGATCTAGCCTCTTCTACCTTCCATGAACCCAGTGTCATCACTTCTTCTGAAATGATTATGGTTTTTTTACACCCCCAATAGCTATGCTTTTTTTATTTCAAATTATCTTTTCATGGGTTTATACCTTCAGTTAAGACACTTTCATTGACAAAGATTAAATCTATTGGCATCCTGATAATTCTACAACCTCCATTTGATATTATTAAATATTATTTAAAGGCAGTTTTTAATTTTTAGAATAAACTAAAAAAGATACAAACCAAGTACGGCAACAATTTTATCTCGGACTAATGTCCGAGATATTATCATGTTTTCACTGAAATTTATCATTATTTGATTGTGCTTTGCTGTTTGGGATTCAATTTGGGATTCAGCAAAAAAGCCTTTAGCGTTGGTGTGAACTGTATATACAGAAGAAAACCCTTACAGCTGTTAAAGCTCCAAGATGTGAAATTTGATCCACATTTCTTGCTTTCAACCCAAAGGACACGCGGTTCTCTGCAAAACACAAAAGAAAAAAGATTCTCTATTAATAGTCAAGCCAAAATCTCTTATTAGCTAGTGGCATGTTTTACTCTACTCAACTCTACTTTTGGCAAAACTGAACAATCCGATGCTTCGGAGATAACTTAATCAACCTCACAGGGGCTGATTAATGGAATTATATAGAATATTAGAATATTTTGCAAAATCTGCAAAGAAGCAAAGTATGACAGTGTATAGTCAATATGAGCTGGGGATGAGATTTTCTATTTCTTTTTTTATGGTCATAGAAAAACAACAACAATTTCCCAAATGTGTAGTTGATTAATACTCAAAATAACTTAAAATTACAATTTTGTCTACTATTAATGATTTTTTTTAGATAGGAAAAGTTCACTTACTCTTATCAGGGAAGTTCTGATGGTAAAACTGGTGAATCTTCTTGTTGAGCTGAATGAAGTTTTGCAGAAGACTATGATCATCTGCAGACTGGCCTTCAAAAAATACCTCCTCCAGGTCACTAACTGTCACCCATGAATGGGCCAGTGGACCAAACTCTTTCAAGGCAAACTCTGCATAGTGCTGAAACATCTGTAACAGCTTCTGACTTTCCCAACCTCCATACCTGGACCTCAAAGAATCTGGAACTGATGATCCATGAAGAATGACGACGGGTTGCAGGTCTTCCTCCAGTAGTTGCTTTAGCAGGGTCTGGTAACATCTTACCACAGCCTGTTGAGGCTTGCTTGCAAGGCCATTTGGCAAAAGTTTGGTCCATGAGAGAGGAACTTTGAAGTGTGTCACTCCTCTGGTCTTGAGGTACTCAAAATATTGTTTAGAAACAGCTGGTATGGGATGACTGCAGTCAAATACAACCTTTTCCTCACCACTGGATGCTCTTATCTGCTTGTCGGTCAGAGGGCCAGCAAGAAGCATAAAGTCGTCTTCACTCTTCACCTCACTGCTCCATCCACCAATCACAAATAAAAGATAGAGACACACAAGCCACAGCAACCTGCTCATTGTGACTTGTGAAGATCAGACTGACACAAAACTGATTGCAAAGCTATTTAAAGAAAACATTTTGCACACATATCATAGTTGCACAATTAGGGTTTGATAAGTGCTTTATTGCAGTGATATACTGTACTTGTGAAGACTCTGGACTCATATAATTGATTACAGCATCCTGGTGTAGTCTAAGGAGCCTGAAATGTGCTGCTGCAAGATGCTAATAAAAAAAAAGAAAATAAAACTAACTGTAATGTATTTCTCCTGTTTTGAAGTGTCAGACATAATTACATAGATTAGAAAGATTGAATGAAATCAGGACTACAAATTCTAGTGATAACTTTTCAATAAGAGACCCTCCTTAGTGCCTGAACATGTAGTAAACAAGAAACAAAGCAGATGTCCAGAGGCAATCCCTCTGTTGAACATGCAGGCCTTGTGTTACAGCAAATTAAACCCTTGCAATTGCTCACATCCAAATATCCCCAAACTGCAGCCTTGATCATTTGAAATCTACTTTATGTTTAAGGACAATTTAAGGTGACAAACAATGCATAAAAGATCCAGGGGGAAAATTATTATATGTATCAGAAGCAAATGTCAGTGATCATGTTGGACATATGTCCCATAGAGGCTTCTAACAACTGGCTCTAGTCAGGGTAAACTGACCTTGGGACTTAAATCTGATGAGAAAGGCAAAGTGTTTTTCCTATCTAAGATAAAATAGCAAGTGTTTGACTGACAGTAACCTTCAAAGAGGAGGTTGAAAGTCGTATCTAGATATGAGCAACCCTTAGGCATGTGATCTAGATGGATATGTGGGGCACTAGTTTATTGTTCTTTTGAAATAATAAGGCAATGCAAAGCAAGTTTATTTGTATATACTTTATTTTATTTTACTTCATTGCATTTTTGAACTCTTAAAATAGTAACAGTTTGGTATAAAACCTAATCAATAATCAGTGGTCGGTATTGAGTCCAGGTTCTGGCTTCCACAGAGAGCTGATGCTGGCATGTTGCAGGTTATGGGGAAGTCTAACTTTGGTCTTTGTTCGTGTAGGTTTGGGCCACCAGAGCAGTGGAGTACAATTAAATTTTTTCTGGGTTTTATCGAGTCCGCATTTTCAACACAACCTTAGTCCTAACACACAAGGACATGCCAGGTTCATGCCAAGTCTGTATTTTTGCCACAGCCCACCTATTCACTGTGCTGACAGCAACACAGCTGAGGGGCCTGCGCCAGGTATTTAAAAATACCAGGATTTCTGAGCAGTTATTACAAGGTATGTCGTTTAAACTTTTATCTTATCTGTATCTTATCTGGACTATGATAATTCACTTTGTAAATCACATCAAACTGACATCAAATGGTTCCTTTTCTCTACATCCAGTGCTTTTTTTTTTTTTACTAAGCTTTACTCCTTCTTTACTCTAGTTTGGCCCCCTGATTTAGTTTCAATTTTAGTCCATGTTTTGGTCACAGATTAAATAATTATTGCTCAGTCTAGTTGAATAATCTACCGTTGGAATTTAGCACTAATTAACCAACACAAATATCTAAATTCTTAAAGCTTTCAGGTTTGCCTCACAAACAATTAGGAAGTTCACTAAAAAGAAAAAGATGCTTTGCATTTTATTTTTTTAAAAATCAGCCACCCAAGAAAAGACCTACCACATACAAAGAGGATGGGCAGAACCTTAGAGAACCTGCTTGACCTGCATCAAATGCTGTAAAGCTTCCTCCCAGAAGTCAGCAGGGAGAACAGTCCATGGTTGGAGTGTGAGGAGTCATTTATAATGTTAAAGGCTTGGGACATGTAGCGCTCTATGGTGCTTCTGTAGAAGATCATGAGAATGGGTGGGGGCAGGTGGGCCCCTCTGCAATTGGCTGCTAGAGTTCCTCACCAACAGACCTCAGTCAGTCCAGGTTGGACAGAACGCCTCTGATGTCATCATCCTAAGCACAGGCTCCCCTCAGAGCTGTGTCCTGAGTCCCCTTCTGTTCACCCTGATGACATATGACTGTGTCCCCAGGTTCATCACCAATCACATCGTGAAGTTTGCAGACGACACCATGGGGGTTGGCCTCATCAGAGACGACAACGAACAGAACTACAGAGAGGAAGCAGAGCAGCCGGTGGGCTGGTGCAGATATAACAGCCTGATCCTGAACATGGAGAAGATGAAGGAGATCATTGTTGACTTTAGGAAGAACTGCCCTAACCACGCTCCACTGCTCAACAACAGCTCAGCTGCAGAGGTGGTCAGCAGCACCAAATTCCTGGGGGTGCACATTACAGACACCCTCAACTGGACTGTAAACACCACCTCACTGATCAAAAGGGCAAAAAAGTGCATGTACTTGTATGTCCTGCCGAGGATGAGGAGAGCCCACCTGCCCCCACCCATTTCATCACCTTCTACAGAAGCACCATAGAGAGCGTTCTGACCAGCTGTCTCACTGTGTGGTGTGGAGGCTGCAGTGTCTCAGACTGTAAGAAAGTGAGAAGAGTGGTAGAACAGCAGAGAGGATCATCGGGGCTCCTCTTCCCTCCATTAAAGACATTTCATTCCAGCAGTGCGTGAACATTATAAATGACCCCTCACACCCCCAACATGGACTGTTCTCCCTCCTGCCCTCTGGAAAGAGACTTCGAAGCATCTGATGCAGGTCCAGCAGATTCCGGAACAGTTTCTTCCCCACTGCCATTAGACTGCTGAATGTTATATAAAATGGGAATATAAAAAAAAAAAAACCTGAATGTTGGAACTGTAACTACAAAGTCATATGTTTACATTATCACTACTGCTTACCTTTATCAAGGCTGCACTAAGGACTACAGGCCTGAGGGGAGCTTTAAGGTGATGACATTAGAAGTGTCCTGTCCAACCTGCACTGACTGAAGTCTGAGATCTGTCGCCACAGCCCTTCTTCATTTCCAAAAACTATCTTTTGCCAATAATCAGTGCACCTGAGTTTCCATCATGAAAGTTGATACATTTTTTTTCCTACTTTTTGAACAGTGGCTCAGAATTTCTACAGTTTTTCATGCGTTGTTTGATCCAGAGTGACAAAAACTCCACTACCTGAAAAATTAAACAGTGTTTAATTCTAGCACTCGGAGTCACATTAAGGTGCACATTAAGCATGTCTGAAAACAGCCTTAAAGTCTATTTTCTGAGCTACAGGGAGCAAGTTTAAGGACTTCAGAACTGGGCTGATGTGTTCTACTTTCTTAGTTTTAGTGAGAACATGGGTAGCAGTGATTTGAATCAGCTGCAGCTGTCTGATGGACGTTTTGAGCAAACCTATAAAGACACTTTTGCAGCAATCAATTCTACTAAAGACAAATGCATGAATTTGTTTTTCCAGCTCCTCCCTGGACATTAGTCCAGAATGCATCTAGCCAACTTTTTGATGGGTTTATAGTCACCTTGTGACATTGTAATGTAAAGCTGAGTATCGTTTGCATAACTGATCCTGTTGTTTGCTATTATGGGAGACACATATTCAATACCAGTCATCTCTTACAGTATGTGCCAAATGGTAAAATTCCTTTTAATAAACAGCTGCCATAGTCAGATCTTCAAGAATCTTCAACCTATCACAGAATGACAGCAATTTATACAATTACTCAAAAAAAATATGAATGCTCTCAGCCAATGAGGTTCTTTCCTAAACATCTCACTGTTCCAACGCCCCAACGCCCCATTCCTGTAGCTGGAGACAGAGTCTAACAAGACTTTTGCCACTGTTTCTCTTCCGCACATATATGAGTGCTGGAATAATTTTATCCAGTTAGAAATAATCTGACGAGACATTGGGAACATTTGTTTTTTTCCTGGAAACCACTTCCCGATTAACAGAATCAAGCTGTTTAGTACCTGTATTTGCAAACAAAGCAACCAGACCTAAGTAAACTCCCTATATTAACAGGTTTATAACATTTTGGCCTGCAGCACTATAATCTGAGCTAAGGATAGCATGTGGATATTGAATAGGATTAAAACCAGTGTATTGTGGTATCAGTAAGGTATAAATAAAATCAGATAGTTGTTTTTTCTATGAATCTGCGTTCCAGTGATAATGTGCTGTACATCAATATCTCTAACTGCTTCTTCTTCAAAAAATTTAATATCTGCCATACTTTTTGATTATAATTTTCTTGTCATTGTTCAGTGTGTAAATCTATTCTTTGCTTTCTTAAAAAGTATATTTGACCAAAAAGATTTAGAAACATGGCCTAATGATAGACTATGAGGAGTTGGAGTAAAATTCGGGGGAAAAATAATAAAAAGGAATCTAAATTGATAAAGAACATTGAGAAAATATTGCAACTTCTTCTCAAAGGGCAAATCTAACTATAGCAAATACAGTACCAAAGCTTTAAGTAAAAACTCACAAGTAATGTCACTTATAATAACCTTTATTGAATACAACTCTCCAAGGACAATAATACAGACCAGTTATCAGTTGACTCTTTATGTCAATCAAGGACTTTCAACAAGGGTTCTTAAAAATTACAGAATTAAAAATAAGTAATTTTAGGAAATTAAACATATACAGTGTTGTTCCATTAGATATCTCATTCCACAGATGACACTTTGTAATCATTATTAGTAAAACCAGTTTTTTTTTAAAGATTCAATTTGATCTTTAAGAAAATATGTCAGGATTTTAACTGTAATTGTCAACATGTTTTGGTTTTTTGGTTGTTTTTTTTTTATGAACATATGGTACAACAGAGAAGCACAAACAATATTCAAACATTACAAGCAGTAGCGCAAAAAAAAAAAAAAATAGGTTCCTCTTTCAGCCTCTCAAAGGGAGAACCTCATACCAAGAAACCACCCACTAAATAAAAACATTTCTGGTTACATAAACACAATTTATTCTTTCAGGTATATTACTATAACATATTAGTTAGCTTTTAACTTGTTTGTGGAGGTGGTATTCAATGCAGGATTTAGATTCTTAAATGTAAATCTTGAGTTGAGAAATATTCAGATGCTCAAATATCTGCATTTAAGATGTTGAAGGTATAATTAGAAATCCTATTTTCTGGACTTTCTTAAAGCTAAGAAGATGCCAATGGACAAACAAATGACAGCAGTCACTGCCACGATGAGCAAAGCAAATGTCACATTAAAACCAGTCTCAGCTTCTTTGGCAGAAAGCTTCAACCCCAGGAAGTTCAAATTATCGATGGGCTCTTTTGTTACTGTGGAAAAAAGATACACAATGTTTTACTACCAACTTTTAGGCTGTTAACAAAATCTAAACGTACATTTTTGAAACAATACATGCAAATGAAAGGGCTCACTTCTGTCGTTTGGTTTATCCTAATTAATAAGGCTAATCTAAATGAATAATAGACTTTGTATGTTATTTTCTGAAAACTGAACCTATTTACTTTCAACAGTACCGATTACTTACCTGGTGGCTCAGTCGTTGGCCCAGTTGTTGGCTCAGCATTAGGGTTCCAACACTCATGCGGTCCATCTGCTGGGTTAGGAAATCCATTGCATCTGATGATCGAAGAGTAATAGGACACAGAAGCTTTGGGAGTTCGAGTAAAATCAGGGTCTGAACGATTGACGTAGAAAAGTCCAAATCTCTCTGTATAGCCAACCGCCCATTCCAGGTTATCCAGCAGTGACCAAGCAGTGTAGCCAATGATATTCACACCATCAAGCAAATAAGCTGCATGAGAAAGAAAACTCAATCAAGCCTACAAACTGAATTACTGGGTTCAAGCATCTCAACAATAATATAATCAATTTGATCTTAGGTATAGTGTTTCTGTGATCTTAAATATTGTATATTTAATTAAGTTGATGTCATACCTTTTAGCACCTGGTTGATATACTGTTCATAATAGTATTTCCTGTGAACGTCATTTAGATCAACTGGCCCATTTTCTGAGACGCCATTCTCTGTAATGACTATGGGAGGATTTCTGTACTCCTCCTTAATAAATCTAAGCAATCTGCGGAGGCCAAATGGTGTCATCTTGAGCCAACTGGAACCGGATTCTATCCAGGTACGATCACTAATAACAACCACACCCCTGTGACAGATAAACAGTTATGAGCTTAAACCAAAAAAAAAAAAAAACATGGACAGTTTTAGAAATATTTGGAAAAAAAAAAATATATATATACAGTATATACATTATTTCAACATGAAGGTAGATTTTGAAACAGTTTTACAGTAAAGCCAAGGACCTCACCTGTCTGCCTCATAGTGCTGAGTTGTTCCAAAGTCGACAGGGAATGCCAACACACTGCAGTAATGGTTTAATCCAAAGTAATCATAAGTGCCATTAATTCTTTTAATTTCCTCAGGAGTAAACTCAGGCAGCCTTAAAGAGAAAAATTCAAGCAGACTCTGTGAGACAGAAAACTTCAGTGGGTGTATTCAGAGGAAAAAATAACCTGCATGGAGATTATTCAATAAACAGGAGAGCATAATCTAAATTAACCCAAGTATTTTACCTGGATTTTGTCAAACCTCCTGCAAGACTTTGTTCTAGGACAGATCTCTTCACATGCGGGCTGTAGTCACCATTAAAGATGGGATGGACATACCAGCCAAGATAAAACTGTACAGAATAACACATAGTATTATTAAGTGACAACGTCACATAAGGTTTTTGTGTTAATTATAAGAATACTTACCTCAACCACACTTCGTGCAGCCTCATAGTCCTCTTGCTTGTAGGGATTCCTGGGCTCTGCCCAGTCTGAGTTTACAGTGATGGCGACCTTTCCATTTTGTGAGGCTCGATATTTGTCATTGTACACATGCCATGCCTCCGCATGCGACTTAATGATATTATGACTTACAATGTATGGCAGAGTATCTGGTCGGTCACTAAAACCTGGAAATATAAAAAAATTTAATTTTGGATGATGATTTTCTTGCAAAAAAGGGATCCAAAGCTTCTGTTGATAAGTGCAGATATTTTCATCCTTAGAAGATATTCCCTGAGAAAAGGCCTGGACACACTCAGTTCAAACACTCAGCAGAAACTTTTTTTCCAGTTAAGAACATCTTGCATACCTGGGGCATGTGCTCCTTGGACATGGCCTAAAACTGTTATTATGAACGGCTCATTGAAAGTGATCCAAAGTTTCACTTTTGGACCAAGATTCTTAAACATGACATCTGCGTATTCTTTGAATCTCTCAATGATAGTCTCATTTTCCCAGCCTCCAACATCCTGTAGAGCTTGTGGGAGATCCCAGTGGTACAAAGTGACCTGATCCAAAAGAAAACAGTCAGTAAAAAAGTCCAAAGCACTTTTCCTTCACCAATTTCTTTCCCAGAAAAAAAACATACTTGAGGCTGAATATTTGCAGCAATGAGGGCATCCACCACTTTATTATAGTAATCAAGGCCAGCCTGATTGATATATTTGGTAGTACCATCAGGCAGCACCCTCGGCCAGGATATAGAGAATCGATAGTGAGACACCTGGAGTTTCTTCAGTGCTGCAATGTCATCATCCAGCTTATTGTAACTGTTACATGCAAAGTCTCCAGTGTCATGCTGTGATATTTTTCCAGGAGTGTGTGTAAATTTGTCCCAAATGCTGAGACCTTTTCCATCTTCTCTCCATGCCCCTTCAATCTGGAAATAGAAAAATTAGGTTATGTTTATTTTTTTAATAATTGTGATTATATGGGCTTTTCTTGAGTTGGTGGTTATAAACAAAGATTAAGACATAAAAAACCTAACTTGTAATTTATATCTGTTTAAACCTTTAGTACTTACCATAGAACAAATTGACCAGGGTATATTACATTTTTACACTGAATGTAGAGCAATTTTTTGAAGCATTTTAATATATAAGACATCATTAAAACCCTAACATTCCATATTTTGATTATTTAGGTGGAATGAGTCTATTTTAACTAAATAAAATCCTAAAAAGTGCAATTAACCAAAGGAAAATGTAAAAAATCTTCCTTTTTTTTCTCCACATATTTTTATTCCAAAAGACCCCCAGGAAGTTCTTTTGGAACATTTGTTTTCTTTGCATTTTTATTGAATATTGAAAATGCCAAATCAAAACAACATTTTGTGAAGGAAATGGTGCTCTGGGACTCAATGTAAGTAAAATTTTTAATTTTATCCCTCTGGTTTAACTTACAAAAAAAATATTCTTAAGGAAAGGAAAGGTTTTTGGTATCTGGAGCACATACTTCAGGTAATAAAAAACAAGACTGATGTGAACAGTAACTGTCATGGTTTTGGTTCTGTTTATCTTTGAATTTCATTTGCTTTATTTCCATTTTGTGTTATTCCAGCTATTTTTGATTGTATTTGAGGTCCTAGGTATTTCTTTTTGCCCTCTTGCTAGTCTACTTTTTCCCTAGCTCCCTTCTAGACTCCTCTGTTCACAACTGTTACCAATCGGCTCATTAGCCTGGTCTTTGTTTCTCTCTCCGATATATGCAGCTCCTGCTCAGTCAGTGTTTTCTGGTTTGTCATAATTTCTTCCCCTTCATTTGAGCTTTCTGGTTTTCTGTATTTTTGTGGATCCTGAGGATTTATGTTTTTGGATTTTAGCCTCTGTTGCCTTTTTTGGATAAATAAATCTGCAAGAAACCACCTTCAGTTTCAGTCTCTGCATTTGGGTCCTTCTCTCAAATCTCCACCCAACCTGACAGTAACCAGTTTTGACCTCACATTTAACTCAAACAGGATCCTGTGGATCACATTTAAATAATAACTTTGTCAACTTTCTGAATATGGCTCAATATAATAATACACTCTTTTTAACATCAATGTTGATGAACTTGTCTGTTTCTAACATTTACTGTCAAATTCAATCCTAGCCAAAAGAGGAAAGTCTAGAAAATAGCACTTGGAATGCCATCAATTACCTAGAGATGAATAAAAATAGTACTAGCTGGTCAAAGCTTACAAATCATTGCCTAGACACTGGTAATGGAAATCTAGGCAACACTCAAAACAAAGAGAGAAGCTATGATCAAACAACTTGTTGAAACCATCTGAATACAAATGTCTAAACCTGGGAATTTTACCTGCCGAAGTAAATTTTTGACTGTTATTTGACAATAAACAATAGACATTTATATTTACCTGGTATGATGCTGTTGCACTACTCCAAAACATACCCTCCTTGAACTGTCCATATAGCATTGTTTCATCTTCAGTTCGTGGAAAACCATTATTCTTCATAATGTTGTAGTAAGCATGTGCTGAAAATTTCGGTGATCTAGGTCGGTTTGGATTATTAAAGTCTACATGGTGCAGCCCAAACCCAAAGATGTAGCCATAAAAAAACTGAAATGAATCCATGAGATAGGTTGCATAGCCTTTTACCTTGACTCCATCAAGTTCATAGGCTGTTGAGATAAATATATAAAATACATATTAGTTATAAATTATCAAGTTACTGCAAAACAGAAAATACATTTTTGTCTGATACGTTGTTTATATTAGTGTACCTTTAAGAGCCTCATCAATGTAGGTTTTGTGAAAAAAGACTCGGTCAATCTCATCCCAAGCCCATTCCCTTGGTGTGGAGACTGAATTTTCAGTGACATAAATATCTGGATCTCCATATTCTTCCTTAATCCAGTTTAGAAGCCTCCTTATGCCAAATGATACTGCTCTTGTGAATCCAATTGGTGTAGTTGGTTGATCAGTTATCTCCTCCTCTGAATAGTCCCAGTCATTTTGATAGGACGCTGTAGTAATATCACCTGTAATATGGGTAACTATTCTGGTGGTGTAGTGATTAACACAAAACATGTCTGCAGTTCCTTTAATTAAGTTCTTCTCCTCCTCTGTGAAAGAAGGAAGTCTTGACTCTGACAGACCTTGGAGTTCGCTTTTCACTAAAACTTGAGCTTTCATGGCTTCTGGATAGTCACCATTTTTGAAAATTGGGTGGGCAAACCAGCCCACCTGGAACTGCATTGCGCGGTCAGCAGCAGTAATTTCACGAGGGACAGTGATATCTTTAGGTTCAACCCATTCTGCATTGAGGGCAATTGATACTACTCCCTTTTGTGAAGAACGGTATTTGTCATCGTATGTGTGGTATGCTGTGGCATGAGCTTTTATTAGGTTGTGTGCTACTTGGTATGGGGCTGTTCCTGGCTTCCTAATGTTTGGGGGGATTTTTCCAGTCCCATATCCTAGCCATGCAATCCCTTGAGGATCATTCATTGTCATCCAGAATTTCACTCTATCACCAAAGGTGGCGAAGCAAAAGTCACAATAATCATTAAAGATATCAATCATCTCCGCTTTCTCCCATCCACCCTCATCTTGTAAAGCTTGTGGGAGGTCCCAGTGATAAATTGTGACCATTGGGGTGATTTTAAGAGCCAAGAGGCCATCAATAAGTCTGTTATAATAGTCAACACCCTTCTGGTTCAGGGATGCACGCCTACCATTGGGAAAGATTCTGGACCATGACAAAGAAAATCTGTATGATTTTACATTCATAGCTCGCAGCATGTATAGGTCTTCATCAAGTCTGTTGTAGCTGTCACACGCAATATTTCCAACACCATCTTCAGGAATACCACTACCTGGCCTTTGAGTAAATGTATCCCACACACTAGGGCCTTTACCATCAACATTCCATCCACCCTCAATTTGGTATGCAGAAGACGAAACGCCCCACAAGAAGTCTTCTGAGAAATTTCCATAGTGATACATTTGTCTATCAAATTTTTTCTGTGGTGTAAATTTTTCCCAGACAATCTTCGATGCTGAGGGAACCTCTGAAGGCGGCAGCGGGGGGAGACGGGGGGCTTGTGATATTTTCAAGCCCTCAAAGCCTTCATTAACTCTTTTACGTGAAACAAAACCATTTTGTTCAATGATCTGAGCATAGAAGTATGCTGATTGTTTTGGTGATCTCGGCCTGTAACTATCTTCAAAGTTAACATGGAGAAGTCCAAATCTTTCACTGTACCCTTGTTTTCCCTCAAATCCATCCATGAGCGATTGCACTGTGAATCGCTGTACATCCACTCCATCTTCTGTAATTGCTGTAAAATATCAGCAGAACACACATAGCACATTTATATATCTTTTAAATCTGCTGAAAAGATGCCACACATTGCCACAAAAACAATGACACTAACCTTTTAGGGCTTCATTGATGTAACCCCTCAAGTAATCTATTCTACTCGTGTCATTGAGTGGGTCTCCACTGTATTCTGTTGGCATGCCATTCCCAGTTATGTAAATGGGCACATTATGAGTTGTCAGATATTTATTTTTAATGTATGCTAAAAGTGATCGTAATCCTGATGGCAATGAGACGATCCAGTCTGATGCTGTAGTGGGCCATGAGGGGTCTACGTATGCCCGGAAGTCTCCAACTCCCTGAGGACCAGGGACGCATCCACCTACGCTGCTGCTAACCAAACGTGAAGTGTAGTGGTTTAAACCGAAAAAGTCAGAGGTTCCCTTTATCCTCGCCTTCTCTTCAGCAGTAAAAGTTGGAAGTACTGCTGGCACAGATCCAGCACAATCACTTCTTTTCTTTTCAATCTGAGTTTTAAGAACTTGAGAATAATCCCCATCTATGAATATGGGATGGGCAAACCAGCCTAGCATAAACTCAAGGTAGCGCTCTGCAGCTGTAACATCTTCAGGTTTCATGGGGTCACCTGGTTGAGCCCAGTCTGAGTTTAATGCAATGCCCACTTTCCCTCCCTGTGTTCCTCTGTATTTATCATTGTAGACATGCCAGGCCTCTGCATGGGATTTCAGTATATTATGAGTAACCTGGAACAGTAAGACAAAATGGAGCAGTATTAGCTAATACACATTTTATTCAGAGTTTTAAAATGTTGTATTATATTGTTACAGCTAGATTTACCTGATAAGAGGCAGTAACGTAGTCTTTAACTCCAGGAGCATGCTCACCAGTGCCATACCCTGCATGGCTGACCACCCAGGGGCTGCTGAATGTGTTCCAGTCCTTGACCCTGTCTCCAAATTGGCTGAAGCAGAAGTCAGCATAGTCCTTAAAAGCTTCAACAATGGAATCTTTGGTCCATCCACCCTCGTCTTGCATAGCTTGAGGTAGATCCCAATGGTAGAGAGTGGCAACAGGCCGAATGCCAGACTCCACAAGAGCATTGATCAAATTGTTATAGTAGAGAACCCCTTCATTTGACATGCTGGCTCTATAACCGGAAGGGAAAACACGGGCCCAGGAGATGGAAAATTGGTAGGTGTTGACTCCAAGACCTCGCAGGAGGTAGACATCTACATCAACCTTTCTGTAACTGTCACATGCAGTGTCAACAGTATGATTATTAAAGGCCTGGTTTTCATGACCAAAACGATCCCAGATTGTCTCTCCCTTCCCGTCTGCAGCCCATGCGCCTTCAACCTTGAAAGATTCTGATGATGTGGCCCATTGGAAGCTTGTAGGGAATGCTTTAGTAAGCAAAGTCTCTCTCTCTTGAGGTGTTTGTGGTTCTGGCTTCTGCATGGTCTTCTCATAACTGTGATCTAACTTCTTAATGGTCTTGAAAGGTGCTGCATATCTTTGAGAAGAATAGCGATATGAAATATGAATAAGAATCAAAAAATATTTGTTGAATCTAAATTTATTTTACATAAACTAAACGTCTTACCTGACAGGGACATTTTCCATTTCAAGATTGATTAGCACATCCTTCATGTCACATCCAATGATATTTAAACCATCACCGCTTAAGACTGTTGAAGAGAGAATAATCAACACTTAATTTAATCATATCAGTAAATCAAGATAAATCCAGACTTGCACATTTCTTGAATTGTGAGTTGTTTTTTTTCCTCCTTTATTTTTGTTTTCCTTAACACACCGGTTCAATTTACTAATAAGGCTACAGTGCAGGTGACAAAATGTGATTAAAATTGCAACATAAAGGATTTAACTCCTCCTCTATAATGTTAGTTATAATATTATATCTAGAACAGATTTCCCTTCTAAGCCTGGTTGGAGTCTTTGTCACTTTTTAAACTGAACAAAGACCATACAAGACTTCTCCATATACTATTACTTGGTATATTTCTTGATTTGTGTTTTGACAATCCAAAACAAAAATCTTATAATTGCTGACATTTTTACAAAATCTCAGTTTTAAAACAAAAATGTTAAACTTCATTTCTGATTATGGTACTGTTGTCAATTCTTGTCTGTCTTTTACTAATAATGTGTTGCTTCTTTTTAAATGTTATTATTCCAAAGATACTCTTTAGACGGATTCTGAATTGTAATTAAATAAATCTTTAAACCATTTTTGACTAACATGAAAAAACATTAATATATACACATTTAAAGTTACTTAGTATTTACAGCTGTCAACATGTATTATATAGTTTGGCAAGATTGTAACAACTTACCATAAAGTAAATCTCCAAGAGGTTTTTGTTCATCATGTGAACAGTCATGAACAAGCAGTTTGTATATCAGGATGGGAAGGTGTCCACTCAAAGTCTACAGCAGAACATGATATACCTCAGACTGCAATTTGGTATATATGTAATATATATACACGTAATACATACACACACATATATATATATATATATATATATATATATATATATATATATATATATATATATATATATATATATAAAAAGCTTACCTGTAAGTTCTTTAGCTCAAGAGCAAACTTTTCAGATAGAGCACAGCTGTAATCAAGTTCCACTGATAAGAAATCAACCTGTAAAATTAAAAGGAGTTGAATCAACATCCAGACAAAAACAAGCTGAAAACATTTTATTCATCCCAAAGGCAAAGCAAATTAGCTGTTAGAATCAGCACCAGTCACTGTTACCGGTAATTGTTTTGTATATTGGAGGGTGTAAATAAAATATATGACTCCTGTTTTTCTGGTCGAATACATAAATAAACTAAAGTGATATTGCTTTTCTCTTGGAAGGTATTTGGCCAAAGTCTTCCATACAAATGCACAACTATACAAAGATAATACATACTTTAAACTGTACAACTACTTATTTCATTAAAAAGGATTCTTAGAAATTAAAGCCGAAAAGGTTTGCAATAAATTCAGATCACATTTAAAGTAAATCACAGCATAGTTTTTCATAAGCATTTTCTTTTTTTTTTGTACGGTACTTCATATTTTAGTAAAGCTGAGAACTAAAAACCCAGCACGCCTTTTTCAATGAATTTTAAAAAAGCTTTGCTAGATTATCCCGGTATGCAAAAAGGAATCTTATTATATTGTTTGGTTATATATTTTATATAAAACTGCGCCTTTAGTTATATCATGAATAAAAAGGATAGTTGTTGACTTACAGTTGTTAAACTTTTAACTAGGGAAAGTGTAGCTTCATCTCTTGCTTTTAGTCCAACTGACAAACGTCTCCCTATAAAAGTGCAAAAGAAATTAAGACATTTAATACTTTTCCCACTAAAATTTCCAAATTGATTTTCTTAATAATCCATTGCTGTAGGTGCTTATTAAAACAATATAGCTAAAAAGATTAATCAAGTTTAGCAAATAACTCACCATTGCCAGGGAAGTGTTGATGGTAAAACTTGTAAATCTTCTTGTTGAGCTGGAGGATGTTTTGCAGGAGACTGTGACCATCTGCTGTCTGGCCGTCATGCAAAACTTCATCCAGGTCACTAAATATCACCCATGACTGTGCCCAGGGGCCAAACTCTTTCATGGCAAACTCAGCATACTGTTGAAACATCTCTAACAGTGAATGACTCTCCCAGCTCCCATATCTGGACTTAAGTGTGTCTGGAACTTCTGCTCCATGAAGGACAATAAGCGGTTGCAGGCCCAATTCCAACAGCTGCTCTAGAAGGGTGTGGTAACATCTAACTACATCCTTTTGGGGTTTGCTGGTGAGCCCTGTAGGAAGGAGCTGAGTCCATGACAACGGGACTTTAAAGTGGGTCACACCTTTGGTCTGGAGGTACTGAAAATAATCTTTGGAGCCCGTCGGTAGGGGAAAACTGCAGTCAAAGGCAACATGTTCTTCGCTGCTGGATGCTTTAAGCTCCTGCTTTACCAGGGGGCCTGCAAGAAGCACAAAGTCATTCTCTATTTCCACCTCCCTACCTTGACTTCCATAGATGCACAAAAAATATAAACACCCAAGCCACAACAGCTTCTCCATTGTGGCTTGAAAAGGATCAACTGAGGATTTCCTCAGATTGTAAAGGTATTTAAAGCAAATTACCTCCTCCTTTTTGGCACTGATTCCTTTATGGAGCCAATAATACAACGGTTACAAAATCCAAATTATCGCAGGTTAGTGTTTTATAGAACATGTGAGATATCCTCAGGAATACTCTGAACTGAGACGTGTAAACACACCTCCTAGTCATGTAATCATTTGTTGAAGGTCCTCCAAGGAGAAGATGATAAGTATATGTACAAAGAGCATTCTGGAAGTCATAAAAAACATTGGTGGAAAAGGAAAAACAAAAAAAATAACTATACATATACATGTGTGTATATATATATATATATAGTTATTTTTGTCTAGCTCTGTATTTGATACACTGTATTCGATGAGTAACTGTGGATAGCATATTTTACACAGAGAGCAAGAGAAAAATAAAACAAATGTATTTAAAAACATTTCACACCCTATTTAACAACAAGACCTTCCAGGATATTGGTTTTCCAAATATTATTATTATTATTATTATTATTATTATTATTATATTATCTGCTTATTTCATCACTCTGGTGTGGCGTCTCAGCGGCTCTCTCTGTCTTGCTTGCATTCATTGTATATGTTCTTTTAAGAAATAGCTTATTCTTTTTATTACCTTGATTATGGGTTTCTGGACTTTGATTGGCCCTTTGATGGTAGCTTTGTGTTTGTGCCAATGATCATTGTCTTTTGTATGCATAAACCAGGCTTTTTATGGCTGTAAAACCAATACAAAAATTAGCCACTTGTATCATACTCATTGTAATGTATGAATATAGCCTTTGAAAAACTTTGAGGCCAGCCCAACAAAACCCTACAAGGATAAGTGGATGTTTGCAGAGGACATCCACCAGGTTTGGTCTTTGTAGCTTAATAGCATAACCTAACAAATACATTCCTCTGAGGAATGTTTGGGATTTTAATTTTCATTCCTTAAGTGCTGAGTTGTTTTATTATATGCAAATTAATTCTGGAAAGGTTTAGGACTTCACTGATTTTCTTCTGGATAGAAGTTGCATTAGATTGATTAACTTTTGAAGACAGAAAAGGATATTTTAGAATGAGATGTAAAATACTCAGACCCCCTCAGGCAGCGACATAGAAAATAGGGCAGTTTGCAAATAAGGGTATGCACATTTTATGCAAGAGCTGGTCAATAAATTGCAATTGCAACACAATAAAAATTTTCAAAAAGGTAATTTTCAAACCACAGAGGCACTTAGTTTTTTGTATTGTTGCATTTATTACCGTAGTAAAGTAAGACAACAACATTTATTACTTCGGGCCATTATGTAGAAGTAATATCCTTAAAGTTGGTTTTCTGGTACACAAAAGGTAAGAGAGAGATGCAGCTAGAAGCAACCTTAAAGTCCCAAAAGGTAAAACAATAGATTTCAAAACAAAATTAGGGCAAAAAAAGGCATTCAAAGCAATGGAAATAATGACAACTTGTGTATGCTTGAGGTTTGTGCAGAGGGAATCGAAATAAAACCATCATTTTGGTTAAGAAAAATGCAGTCCCATTCCATGCCTAAAAATACATTATGCATAGATACTGGTCATTTTTGGCTCTTAGACAAAACCTTTATAGTCCCTTTAAAGTCCTTCGACCAAAGGAGTTAAGGGTGGATTGCTGACTGGGCTGCAGCTCACCTTGTGGGGCTGAGACTTAAGAGTTTGACAACTTTTATTGTTGAAATTTTGTTTAGTACAGCTTTTCAGACAGTAAATAAACATTTCCATTCCATAAATTACAGCAGTGATCAAATGAAAACAGTGTGGGAGAAAAAACATGGTGCAAAAATATGCATTGATATGGAAGTTCAGAGCATTATTGTGTATTGTGCAAATTTGCAGTATTTTTGGTTTCGGTGTTGTCAGTGTGATGCAGTCTGACATGATTTAGGGTTTGGTTGTTTTTTTTTTTTAACAGTTCAGCTGGGTATAGCAACCTAAGAAAATACCTAGGTTAAATGTCAGCCATCCTTTCAGTTTCCTTAAAATGAGATTTGTGGATTCCTATATTCTACATTGTTTGCATACTGCCTCTTCAGCCACTACTCAATTAGAACAACACTGCTTCCCACAGAAAAGTGGTATACTTTTATATAAATATACTGTTATACAAATGTCACAGAGGGGCTAAAAACAGTTGAAGAAAGACCATATAACTACTACTGATGCAAACAGCATGGATCATGTATTCAGAAGTGAGGTGGGTTGAGTTTTCCAACTAATAATTGCAACTTTTGGGGCTTTTCATTTGAAATATCCCAACTTGGGAAAGAAAACCCAAACTTCTGAGAACTTATGGCATGCAGCATTAGTCTAAATGCTGGGGACAAAAATAACAGCAGAAACCAAATTTCCAATCGTTTATACTAGTTTTAGATTCTTGAATTAGCCATACAGATCAGATAGGAAAGCAAGAAAGAAAAGAGGAACAAATATACAAATAACTCTTCAGAGGAAAGGCTTTTGAGGACTGTTATGTAACATTTGCCTTTTGTGAAATTTATACGCCAATAGTTATACCAAGGAGGGTTTTTCAGTAATGAAATGAAAAGAGAACAATTGTATAATACTTAGGACACTGCAGTGTTAAAAGTCGTTCAATTATTTTTTTTCTGTTGAGCTCTTGCAAACAATTATATATTTACATTTCTTGTTTAAAGGCATTAGTTCTGTCATCATACAGTAATCTTGCCGAGTAGGTGGTGAGTACAGTATCTGTTTTTCAGTCATTATTACATTATTCAGGCTATCTCTTGCAAAAAAAGAAAACAAAGAAAAAATTAACATATTTCAAGTTCTCCATATATAACTAAGGTTGGTAAATCACGGCTCTCATTTATTCCCTTTGGTTGCCCTAATCAAAGACTCACATGCCATGGAAAGCATTTGGAAAAGATCTAGCATTTTATACTGACAAGTTTTGTATCACAGCTTTATTGTTCAGTTCCATTAAAATTTACCAGTTAAAGTATTAAAACATAAACCTTGTAAAAGAATGTGTAATAAAAAGAGGTTTGCATAACAGAGGGTCTTTAGGTCCTAATTTTATTTTTATTTATTTTTTTCCTGTAGTTTTTTGTTTTACCTCAAGTTAAATCCAGATACTTACTTACTTTTGACTCTTCAAAAGAGGGAATTGCAGTAAAGTTTTATTGCACTACTTGTCTGCAATCAGTGTGGTTAGGTCAGGTGTTAGTTATTGTTTTGTAGCCTTGTTTAGGTAAGAATCGTTTTTCATGATGTCTGTGTTTATTAGCTGTATAGTAATAAAGGAAATATTTTATAAGATAATAGTTTTCATAACACTTTACCACAGAACCAAAGTTCATGGTAACTGAGATAAACGTAGAACAGGACAAAGGTTACTTTAAATTGTCTGTTACATCAGATTGGAATAATTAATTAAGTTAAATTTGAAATACCTCTATGAAAACCTTATGCAAAGTATTGGATTTCTGTACAAATTAAAGGCTTTCCAATGGCAATAACTGCAATAAACTATAATTACTTCCAATCCAAGTAATTATAGTTTTTCACCAGTTTTACATTTTAAGACTTTTTGTAATCTCGACTACATTTTTATTGCTAATGCCTTAATTAATTAATAAATAGAGGAAAATCAGAGCTAAACCTCTAATATTTTTTTAGCACAAATGTAAATGTACCAAGAATGGATCAGATATTCACTTTGTTGAAAATCTTATATTCTCTAACCTTCATCAAGGGCTAATATTACAAAGCTATTACTAAATTTCAAAGTAATTTAATTGAGCTGAATTGAATTATTTTAATCAAATGCTTTTATTGAAATTGCATGGTTGACATGCACCAAAACAAGGTCTCCAACAGGTTGTTTCTTCCCTCTCACAGTCATACAGAGACAATCACATATAATTTAGTTTCATCTATTTTAATTTGACAACCAGGTCACCCTTTCTGGTACGGCAGTAGACTGGTTTAAATCCTACTTGAAAGATTGAGGATTTCTTTGTCAATAGGTAACTTTACAACAGAGAACACAATAATTAAAGGTGATGTCCCCTAAGGGTCCACCAACTAAGGATCTCTCTTATTTAATATCTCCCTGCCCCCCTTATCTCAGATCCTAATAAACAGCAACATAAGTTACCGTAACTATGCAGACGACACACAGCTTTACATTACATTGTTAGCAGGTGACTATGAACCCATTCAAGCTCTGAGTAAGTGCATAAAAGAAACCCAAGCATTGATGAATTTTCTTCAAGTGAAACAATGCGGAAGTAAGATGGTTTGGACCAAAAGAAGAGTTATCCAAAGTTAACACACAGCTTCAATTCACACAGCTAGAAACCAACTGTACTGTATATCTTGATGTAGTGATGGACCTGAACCTTCAAAAACCCATTAGGACATCAACAAAGTCAGTCCTCTATCACCTAAAGAACATCTCCAGGATTAAACGACTAATGTCTTGGCAAGAAAATGAAAACAAAATATTACGGTAATATTTATAAATTATAACTAAATTCATTTTTAGTAGAACTGATTACTGCAACAGTGCCTTCACAAGTCTGCCTAAAGGTGTGACCTTTGACAAGGACATACTAGATGGAAATATCTGATAGTACCTTAATTTTCAATAAATATGACAATAAAACAAACAAAGGCTAAGAAATAAAAAATAACAAAAGTTATTACAGGGAAAAGATTGTTGTAAAACAGACACATTTAGGTACATTTAGTTTTTCCCTACTTTTAAGTAATTTTGTCTGCAGGTGATACTACACCATTTCCTATATGTAGCAATTATTTTGATGATACTTTAAATTAGTTCATTGGTGAAACGACTTCTGTGCATTGTCTTATCATTCTACATGATCACCAAGAAGAGTTGCTTAACATTGCTTAGTTTTTCCATTGATTGTCATTCTGAAAATTCTGTGTATCTGACTATTTTTTAGGCCCCAATAGTTGTTGTGGTGCAATGTGG